CGTACAAGGTAAAAACTGGGTGACATGGGTACTATTTAGTACCCCGAGGCAGTATTTATCAGATATGCTGGTTGGCTGAAAGACTGAATGCAGCTGAGAAGTCAATACCTGATTTACTTTAATGGCCCGTACTAGGAGAAAATGGCATGTGTTTATTTAGTAGGCCACTCAAGCACAAGATATTATGCTAGAGATCAGGTATTATCAGTCTTTTCCTTAGATTTTAAAAAAGATTTTAAAATAAATATATATATTTAGAGTATGGATAGTATCAGATAGTGGAAATATAAAAAGTATACTTCTTTTAAGAGTTTAAAACTAGGGGCGCCTGGGTGGGCTCAGTCATTCAGCGTCTGCCTTCAGCTCAGGTCATGATCCCAGGGTCCTGGGATCGAGCCCCACATCGGGCTCCCTGCTCCGCGGGAGGCCTGCTTCTCCCTCTCCCACTCTCTCTACTTGTGTTCCCTCTCTCACTGTGTCTCTCTCTCTGTCAAATAAATAAAATCTTTATTAAAAAAAAGAGTTTAAAACTACTATTTTTTGTTTAAATTCATTTTTATTTAACATTTCTTTCTTGAGTCTCTGATTTCTAAGTACTATGGTAAACATGTTAATCCAACCAAAAGAGCTTGCTTTTGGACCTTGAAATATGTGTTAAAGTAAGGAAAAATTCTTATTTGTTGGCTTTTAAGTTTTCAGGTCTAAGGTGATCTGGGTCATTAGAATAACCAACTCATCTTAGATAAGTTTTCAGTTACAAAAATTGTCCCTTCTTGGGCGCCTGGGTGGCTCAGTTGGTTAAACATCTGACTTCTGCTCAGGTCACGATCCCAGGTCTGGGGATCGAGCCCCACATTGGGCTCCCTGCTCAGCGAGAAGTCTGCTTTTCCCTCTGCCCCTCACCCCGCTTGTGCTCTCTCTCTCTCAAATAAATTAGATCTTTTAAAGATAATTGTCCCATCTTGAAAACAGTGGTTTCCCAAACCTCCCATCCTGCCAATGGTCTCATGGCAAATTTTAGGAGATTAGGGCAACTCTTGATGAATGCTCTGAGTTTCTAGGATTATAAATCATCATAATTTCCTTGTTTCCATTCTGTGATAGCCAGACCTGATGCTTGGGTTGCATTCCCAGAATAGGAACTTACATAGAAGGACAGTCAAACCATCATGGACAACATTGGGTCATATTATGTGTATATGTGTGGGGAAGAACAAGGTTGGGGACGAAAAAATGGTGCAGTCTAATAAATCAGGTAACGAGAAAATTTTCCAAATAAATATTAAACTTTGGGTATTTAATTATCAGAAAAAAAAATGGAGTCACCAAAGGACAGGTGGCTACAAAGTTTGCATAGTAGGGAGTTTATCTGTAGTTCTCTGATTCCATTAAGTGACTAAAAGTTTTGTGCTTTGCTATTCTTCCTGCTGACATTGTTCTATCCTTGCTGTCCCAAGAAAGGTGACTAATTCTTTGTTGGTTTTACGAAAGGAAACAGGCAGAACAGCATGACTCACAATTATAATCTTCCTTTTTTCTTCATACAAGAAAATTGGCTTATGTGTGTGACTTGATAAAACATTTAACTGAGAAGCCTTACTAATTGCATTCAGTGAAGTGAAATGCCCCCGAATAAGACCATTTATTGGTTAAATCACATTATCAGCCGAGCTATAAATCTGAATCCTATCATCCTAATGAAATTTACAGACTTTTGTTTTTCATTTCAATCTTCGTGTATTAGTTGAGTTTTATGCGTATGTACCTATGCAGTTGACTCTTGAACAATGTGGGGGATTAGGCACAGCAACTCCCCGCACAGTTAAAAATCCATGTATAACTTTTGACTTATTTTTTTTTTGGTAATGATAACAGTATGGAACTTTTCATGAAAAACTTAGCCACAGTAGCCTAGGGTCCAGCAGTTGGATTTCCAGATTATAATCAAAAAGAGATATAGACTCTTTCTGAGTAGGATTATTCCTGGAGGGTTTTTTTTGTTTGTTTTGTTTTTCAAGGTAGCTTTAAGTGAGACAGAGGTTTTACATACAAAGAGGGGGTTATAGATACATCCTCCCTTCCCCAAAGCAAACCAAATCTTCATTTTCCAATGGTATCTTTAGTTTTCTTTGACCCTGATTTTAGCTTTGAGAGATAGGACTTGGGTCTTGAGAAAGGAGTCTGAGTTAAATGTCCCTCCTAAATATTTCCTTCTGTTGGAATGTTCCACGGTATTGTCATTGCGTGGCTGTCCCTTTCATTTTGAGTTCTTTGAGGGAAGACGCTATGTCTTTCTTACCATTGTTAACTTCAGTACCCATAAAGGACTCACAAAGGAGTAGCTAAATGTTTATTGAAGGCACAAATACACTTAGTCCTACAATGCATCCTCTACACTGCTTACAATATAAAATTATTTTGTATAATTCCATTTTGGAATTATCTTCAAAGAATAAATTTCTTCAGAATTATTTCCAAGGTAGTAATAATCTACCCTTTCAGGCTATGTTTGATTTTTCTGGAGGTAGAGTATCTTGAAACCAGATTTGAGTGAACAAAGTAGTCGCTCTTGCTGAACAGTATCATTTTTAGTTTTAAGTGAGGCACAACAAAGTAGATCTGTGTGTTTGTTGGGTATATGATGGACTCTGCAGATGGGTTCAAAAGAGGCATTCTTTTTAAAAAATTTTATTGATTTATTTGAGAGAGAGAGAGAGAGAG